TAGCTCAGGCTCAAATTATTTACCACAGCGGCCCCCAACCTTTTTGGCACCAGGGATCGATTTCATGGAAGACAATTTTTCCACGGATTGGGGGTGGGGGTGGGGGGTTCAGGATGATTCAAGCACATTACATTTATTGTGCACTTTATTTCTATTATTATTACATTGTAATATATAATGACATAATTAATTACACAAACCTCTCTGCTGATGATAATCTGTATTTGTAGCCGCTCCCCAGCACTAGCATCACCACCTGAGCTCCACCTCAGATCATCAGGCATTAGATTCTCACAAGGGATGCACAACCTAGATCCCTCGCATGCGCAGTTTATGGTAGGGTTCGTGCTCCTATGAGAATCTAATGCCACTGCTGTTCTGACAAGAGGCAGAGCTCCAGTGGTGATGTGAGCAATGGGGAGCTGCTATAAATGTAGATGAAGCTTCACTTGCTTGCCTGCCACTCACCTCCTGCTGTGCAACCTGGTTCCTAATAGGCCACAAACCAGTACCGGTCCGCAACCTGGGGGTTAGGGACTGCAGATTTACCAGACCCAAGTTTCCAAGAAGACACTTGGACTAACTTTATGAGAAGTCCAAGGGCTTTCTGAATCAAGGGAAAAAGGTCAACCTGCTGAGTCCCAATTCTGTGCACATCAAGGTACAGAGAGTAGATGAATACAATGGGCAGCTCATTTCCTAGGAGACTTTTAGCTAAACTTTAAGCATCAGTAGTGTGACACAGAATCAACATTCTATAACAACTCATGGCACCATTAACCCCATTTTGCAGATGAGGAAAACTGAGGCCCAAAAAGATTAAGTGACTTGCCCAAGGACAAACAGCTAAAGTGGTGGCACTGGAATTCCAACCAAGTTTGCCATCAAACTTTTTGGGTTTTTTTTTTTTTTTTTCCGGGTGGTGGGGGTAGGAAGAAAAGCCCATCTGTGTTTTCCTGGTGACAAGGTCTAATCTGTTCCAGAGGCCTTACTGGCCTCACCACAGGACACATGCATACCCACCAGCCCCATGGAAGAGGTACGCAAAGATGAGCCTATGCCCCTAGAGAGCTAGCACCATACCTCTGTAACGGCTGCACAGCAACTACCGAGCCTAAAATGGCCAGACAGCCCTGAAATTTTTATGGCCTATTTATTCTTTGCTTGCTCTGAGCCTCATGACTAAGACTATGGCTCACCGCTCGCTTTCCTTCCTTTGCTGCCCTCTGCCTTCTTGTTAGGCCTGGCAGCACCAAAGGGCAGCCAACCTTCCTGGCCCAGAGCTCCTCCTGAGAGTGCACAGCCCTGACTTCATCCTGTGGTTCCTCCCCCTTCCATGGAATCAGAAGATTCCACACAAGAGATGTGGCCCAGGACCTATCTGCCCTACTTTCCCAACTATTTTAAGCTGGAAAGCTAAATTTTGCTTTCAACCAGCTGAATAAGATCAGCCCTTAGCCCAGAACTGACAGGGGTGCCCACTCCACCCAATACCAACTGCTAACTGGAAGAGTCGCAGGCTGAGCAGCCCAGTGCATGCCCCATGGCTGGGTGATACAGTCATTTACAGAGGGGTGGCCAAGGCCCAGGTCTCTGGGTGTGTGTCACCACACCACAGACAATGTAGCAGTGATTAAAGGTAGCAGCAAGTAAGCAATTAGCCTTGAGGTAATTATTTAAATGAATCCAACCAGAGTCTGTTTCAATCTGCCTCATTCGCCCTACAGGGAACAGAAGGAAGGTAGCATGAATTGATACGAAAAAGTAAAAAATATTTATTTCATTAAAAAACAGCATTAAGAGGGGGACCCGCCCAGGCCCAAAGTGGGAAGGTTACAAAAAAACAACTGCCAACTAGGTTTGGAAAGGAGTCTGAAGCACTTCCAGAAGGATCTGTGAAGCCTTGCACTAAATGCCCAGGTTTAGACACTGCTGAGTCAATGTTTGCCATGCATCAACATCCAAGCTGACCACTATTAAATATAAAATTGTATTCCTGCCATGCTGCCTTGGATGGATACAGACACCATTGCTACCACCACCAACTGAAGTCTGAATCATACTGATGATTACTAGACTCCCTCCCCATCTGCAAAGCACCACTGTTTTTCACTAGCCTCTCCCTTTCAATCTGCAGCTTTACTGCTCATCACCTCTGGGCTGGGATCCATAATAAGAAATGAGAGAAAGCATTGCTTCTTACCAGCTTACATATGCAGGATGCAGGATTTCATGAGACAGGTGTTTACTCACCTGCATACCAAGTAAGCTAAGTACTAAGTGAACAGGTGCCAGAAGATTTAAATTAGTGGGAGGATCCAGAACTCTAGAGTAGTGGCTTTCAACTGGGAACGATTCTGCACTATGCCCACCTCCCCCACTCCCCACCCCCAAATATTTGGCAATGTCTGGAGACTCGTTGGCTATCATAAAAACATTACTGGCATCTAGTGGATGGAGGCCAGGGATGCTGCTAAACAGTCCACAATGCACGAAGAGCTCCACTCAAAGAATTAGCGAGCCCCAAGTATCAACAATAGCACTGTTGAGAATCCCTGAACTAGAGCTTCACCAGGGCATCCCCCACCCTGGAGGGGGGGAGTGAATGCCATCCGCCTCATGTCAGCATCCATCCCTCTCCCCGTCTTACCAGTGGCTACTACCTGCTACTGCAGCCAAAGCTGCTACTGTTGCATGCGCCCTCCACCATTCTCTGCTTGGCTAATTCCTAAGTCACCCAAGTTCTAGCTTACTTTCTCCCCAAAACTTCCAACACTCCAGAATGGGTAAGATGTCCCCCTCAATGTGCTCTTGTAGTTACCTTCCTGGGCTGTAACTATCCACCTGTCTGAGGTCTCCACTGGGCCTAAACTCCATGAAGGGAAGAGCCATGTTTCAGGCTCCACCAAATCCCTAGCCCCTTTCCCACCGAGAGAGCAGGGGATCATTATGTGATTGTGTATGAAAGCAAGCAGCCATTTAAGTGCCTGCCCTGCGCCAGGCCCTATATTAGACACCAAATCACTACATTTAATTCTAATAGGCTTCGGAAGTTGGCATCTTTCCCATCTACAGATGGGAAAGCCAGAGAACGCCCACAAGATCCCAAAGCAAATGAGAGCGAGAGCTGGATTCAAAGCCTGGGGCAGCACTTTTCAGGACATGGCTGAGCCTCCCACACTAACTCCACAGCCAAGTCTGAATCCAGGAGGGGTGGGAAGGGACTGGGAAAGCTTTAAGACTTTACTATTCTAAGGAAAAGATGAAGAGAATTTTCCTGATGATGAAATCTTCTTGCTGATCACTAACAGACCTGCATATTAACAACGTGAAACTTCTGTTCTTTAATCCAGGGTGTGCATGTGTTGGGGATCGGACGAGTGGGAGTCTCAAAGTCAAAAAATGCCATGTGATCTTCCCATTAAGCACCAGACCACTGCTGGACCCCCTGACAACAACCCTAAGGGCCTATGACTACGTAGAAAATTAATATCCCATCAAAAGACTAAATGGACCTTGTGTGAGGTCCTTTTAGCACTGAGAGCCCTTCAATGGAATCAGACCCCAACCTGTCATACACAGCAGGCCCCTTGGGAGGGTCTGTCCTGGAAATCCCATCTTAAAAGGGTCCTGCCAAGATATCCATCTACGAACATCGTGCAGGTTTGAGAAGCTCAGAAGCCCAAATGACAGGAGGCATCTGACAGGTAAGCAGTGCTCTGGGTTTCAGATGCATAGGGACTTGAAGCATTGCTTCTTCTGCTGCCACCGACTTCCCAGACTTTTCCATCAGGAGGTCTTGGACATCACAAGGCTCCGCTACCATCCACAATATGGAAGCAACCTCAGCTGTCTGAACTCAAGATAGATCACCTGCCTTCCTGATACTAATGTATGTGCTGCCAAAGCAAGCACCCTCGTGATATTAAAAGGACTCTAGGGACCCTGCTTCTCCCCATGACTGTGGCTCCACTGACTGACTCACTTTAGCGTTTAAACTGCTCACCACAAAAGCTCGGTGTGTCTTAATCCTGTACTTGGTGGTGGTCAACCAAGCTGTTCTCAACAGCTGCATCCTAGACCTTCTAAGAGGTTTTGGGGATTAATGAATTACATTACTAGATTTACCTTTTTCAGTGCTGGAAGGACGAAGCTTCCAAATAAATTTTTACTTCTTATAAACAACAAATATATTCCAGCAGGCAATCTTCTCTGGAGACCACGATACTGAGCTAATCCTCAGCAGATCTGGGACCCAAAATAGGCCAAGAAGCTAAGTTCTGCTGCTCACATACCAGAAGAGACCAGCTGCATTTTGTTTTATTCAGTCCTGATAACAGGTAACACGTTCTCACAAACAGCCCACGGGATCTTATGCAGCCAAGAGGGGAGAATTTTAAGAGTGTGCTGCACTCTGTTCCCGGCCCAACCACTAATTTGTTCAAAGCCAAAGCAATCACTCCCCCTCTTGGGAATGGAAAACTCTTACCAATTAAATACTCTTAAGGGGCCTCTGCCTGTGAGTATTTTCTCTGTTAAGGAATCCGTGAACATTATTCTGTTAAGAAAACCAAAAAGAGCAAAACAGGAAAGACTCAGGTAGTAAGTTCAACTCTTGTTTTTAAGAGCACAGATTTAGAAATGGAAGCCCAGAATGGAAAAGTAACTTGCTTTAAAAAAAAAAAAAAAATCACAAAAGGGAAAGAGACTCCTAATATCTTAGCCTTCTGGAAAAATGGCTTTAGATTAATTCTGCCAAGTCCATGTTCACTTCAAATCTGCCTTTCGGTACAGAATTTCACATCGGTTCCCTAATCCCTATTTTCTTGCTACACGTTTTTAAATACAGGCCCCTTCCCCTGCTCCCCACAACCTACAAACAGAAGAATGGGTCAGAAATGTAAAAAGTACGGGCTCCTACTGGCTGTTGCTTCCCGGGCCAGGGTGGGTAGGTAAGGCAACAGAGTGCAGAGCCACCCCCCTCCACCCAGGTGGGTTACCTGAGAACAGTCACGCTCCCCCTGCGCACAGGCAGGGAAAGCACAGGTTCTGACACCCGGATAGGCTTGAACTGGAACTTGCAGCCGAAGCAGAGCGCAGAGTCGCTAAAGAAGGACACGGACACGATGGGGCGCTCGAAGATGTGGATGGGGTCCACGTGAGACACGATGCAGCCGCCGGGCTGGTAGTCGTTGATGACGGCGCTATTGACGAAGCCCTCGGGGATGACGCGGTGCTCCACCAGCTTCTGGATCACCAGCTGGTGCACCCACTCGGGGATCTCGTCTACGTCGCCCGGCGGATAGAGGCGCTCCTGGCCGGGCCCGCGCTTCTGCAGCTGGGCGCCGTAAGTGTAGCCCTCGCCAAAGAAGTACTTGTTGCGCAGAGGGGCCCGGTCCACCGTGTGCTCGTTGTAGAGGCCCTTCTCAGCGCGGGACACCACCTCGTCGATTCGGGCCTCGATCTTGGCGCACTCGTCCTGGCTGAAGAGGCGCATCTGGCGGATGCCGCTTTTCACCTTGCGCGCTTCTTCCTCCTTCTGCAGCTGCTGCTCCTCATAGTCGCTGCGTTCGGGATCCGAGTCCTCTTGATACTTGCGCTTAGCCCCGGACACGGGGTAAGGTTCGGCCGCAGCCGCGGCCGCGGCGGCAGCGGCTACAGCAGCGGCGGCCGCGGCGGCGGCCTCCCGGCTGCCCGCCTTATAATTGTCCCGGGACGTCATGGACTTGAGCTTCTCACGCAGGTCCGTGTAGCCGCTGGCGGCCGCCATGGCCCCCGCGACGCTGTTCTAGGGTCCTCCGGGGCGGGCGGGGCGGCCGGGCATGGCTCTCGGGGGACGCGCCCGGGGCCCCCGGAGGGAATGAAGTTCTCAGCACCGGGCCCCCATGCGTGGGCGGACGACCAGGCGGGGAGCGTCGAGGGGTCGGGCCTCAGGAGCGGCGGGTCATGCAGTGGTGGCGACAACAGGGCTTCTTCCTCCTCCACCTTCTCCACGTCCCAGGGGGCAGGGACGCCGGCAACGCCTCATGCCGCGGAGGGCTGCTACGGAGACTCGGCCTGACTCCCAGCCAGACCCTCAGACGCCCGGCCCGGCCCGCACTTTAAAGCGCTCCTCACGACGTCACGGGCCGCCAGCCCGACGTCCGCCAGCGCCGCTCCTTAGCGGGCTCCTCAGCGCGCACGCGCGGTGTTGCTGGCCACCGCGGCTCCGCGCGCTACGGGCATGCGCGTGCGTGCGGGCCGGGTCGGCAGAGGCTCCAGCGCAAGCGCAAACCCGGACCGCTCGCCGTCCGCCGCCCCTCCCCCACTCGCTGAAGGGCTTTGAGGGAGCAGTCTCAAACAGCGACCTGTCTCCACGGCGCGCCGCCTCCAGGACTGAAGGGCTCCCTTCGCAGGGGTGCGCTCACACTGCCAACACTGTCGCTGTGCTGCGTCACGGCATCGTCCGAATGGCCCCAAACGCCTCAGTCCCGAGCGCGCAATCACCGAGGAACCGCCACAACCTAGGCCGCCCCGTTACCTCCCCTTTTGGCGCTTCCACTTCTTTAATTGGGCCGCCGGCCACGTGCCGGGCGGGCCCAGACTACAGTTTCCAGAAGTCGGTTGGTAATTATGCCTGTCAATCAGGCAGTCTCCTTGGCTACTGCGTCCGTCACCTAATTAGCGGCGTGGAGTGCAGCGAGGACCCCTAAAGGGTAAATGGGTGGCTAAAAAAGTGCCCGAACGGAAACCCTACCGGAGGAAACCCCTCAGGACGCCTAAGGAAACTTCCCCAAACGCAGGAACTTCTCAAACTGCGGGGCCGAGCGCACAGGGCCTCAGCTTCGAGCCCAGATAGCGACAGCCGCAGAAGTTGGACGCACGTCGTCGGGCCCCCCCTCCACCCCCAGCCCGCCGCCGCCGCCCGGAGTGGACGTTCCACGAGTCACGTCCCGGTGGCGGCGAGCGCGTGCTGGGACGCGCCGGGGTTGGCGTCGCTCATTCTTGGTGCTGGAGATGGGTGTGGGGGCATTTCTTCTGGGAGCGACAGAAAAATCTCAGAGAAACAAACAGGCGTACGGATAAGGCTAAACTATAGGTAATGACTAGAGACAACTGAAAAGTTTTGAAGCAGAGGGCACAGCGTCAGGAAAGGCGTGGCCGTGCGGGATGCGCCGCGCGGCTCCAACAAGCAGGGGTTTCTGCTCGAAAACCTCCCATGGCTCCCCAGGATAGATTTCAACCGCTTTGTCTGGAGCTCAACGCCTTTGTCGAAGACCCTTGCGGCCTTGCCTCCTCTCCCCTCTTAACGCGGACATTAAGCCCCAGCCTCGTCCTTACACTGCCAGGTTTACAAATGCCTGTCACCTCCAAGCATTTGCCCAGGCTGTTTCTGCCAGTTGGAATACTAGTTTCCTATCACCCATCTTCTTCATTTTGATTTTTTGAGGCTCAGCTCACCTCCGTCTACAGCCTTACTAAATTCCCACTGAAAGGAAGTGCATCTTCGATCTGGCCATTGTGACTGCCTTCAGCCTCACCTCCCTGGGCCATTTTGCCAGGGGCCCCCACCCCCAGCTTGTCAGGCCAAAAGCACAGGACTCTGACAGACGTGGGTTTGAATCTTGATTTCATGGTAGGCTGTATGACCCTAGGCAAGTGACTTCCCCTCTCTGAACCTAACTCTTCTGGTCCGTATAACGGGGATAACTTTAGTACCCGCCTCCTATGGTGGTTGTGAGGATGAAATGCAGCCGTGTGTTAAGCAGAGGGGATTGCTGACTGCGAGTCTGGGTGTTAGTTTCCCCATTTGTAAACTAAGGGTCCCGTCAGTCTCTGTTGGAAAGTGGGGGTTATGTAGTAACTTGGCAAGGCCAGGCCAGCAGGCCCTGTGGGATGAGAAAGCCCAGACGGCTGAGACCCTGGCTACTGTCCCCAAGCTCCCTGCCTGGCCACCCTCTTTCCCCTCTGCAACAGTACATGCAGAGGGAAAATGGGGCAGGCATGAAGCCTACAGTAAATTTGGCACCTGTCCTTTCTTGGTGCAGCCTAGTGGGGTGCAGGTGGTGGTGGTAGGAAGGCAGTTGCAGGCAGTGAGAAGGTGGCCAGTGGGCAAGGCTAAGGCCAGGTGGCCTGGGCTCTGGCCCCAGTTCTGCCTGAGCCATATCATGTTGAACACATGGGCAAGGCCCCCCTTACCTGTATGATAGGCAGTTTGGATGTGAGGGCTCAGGCCCTTTAGAAGCCCCGTGCCCTCTAATCTGTCCTCCAACAAGGCGGCAACAGACTCTGCTCACACACCTGCTTGTCAGGGTGCTCATTATTGTAATCAGAAACCCTCCCCTAGACTCCCCTGTTGAGCCCAGCTCTGCTTATCCACACAAGAATGTGTCATGAAATTGAGACAGCCCCTCCCATCCCAGACACCATCAGAAGCTTCCATGTGTTCCTCCCTGACTGCGTGCTCTTGAACCAGGCCCCTTGAGACTCTGAGCACGAATTCTAGAGCCGGGCTTCCTAGGTTTGGATCTCCTCTAGGCCACATACTGGCTGTATGGCCTTGGGCAAATTTTTCACCTCTCTGGGTTTCAGTTTCCCTGTATATACAATGCTGATAATAACAGTATCCACCTTGTTGGGGTGTTTTGGGGATTAAATGAATCAGTATTATGTACTGAGCCTGACACATAGTAAAAACTTGATAAAATTAGCTTTTTAAAAATGTGTGTCCACTCCAGCCATTCATTTGCATGCCATGCTGGACACAATGACCACTTAGGAAGCACTTTCCCTAAAGCCTCTGTCAGTGCTTCCAGTTTACAAAGAAGGAAGCAGAGGCTCAGAGAGGGCCAGCAATTTGCCCAAGGGCACACTAATCAGCAAACAGAAGTGGAATTTGAACACAGGCTTCTGTGGCTCCATGGTGTGGGCCTTCAACCACCAGACCAAGATTCCCTTAAGAGGTTGGTGGGTCCTGGGCAGGAGGAGGAGGCACCCCAAGGCAGGGAGAGGCTGGTGGGCTGGATATGTGGACGCTGGAATCTGGCCAAGCAAAGCCCCCTATCCCACATGGAGGCAGCAATGTAGTCATTCTGGTTACTTTTCAGTACCGCAGAATCATGGTGCATCCTGCCATACCCATCTGGGACCCCAAGCTTTCATGAGTTGACTGTCTTCAGGCTCCTATGCCACCCAGACATTTCTCCTCTAATTGTTCTCATCCCACAATGGGCTCGGAACCCAGGTTCTGGTCCCCTCTGCTCTGGGTTTCCCACATCTATCTGGACTTCTTCTATTTCCAGGTCTTGGCCCACACAGGGAGCTCAATGTGGTACCCCTAGAGTGTCTAACTCTTCTGGTACCTATGACTCTTCCCACTGTCTGCCTCATGGGAATCGTTACCTTCTCTTAGGAGGGCTCGCCTTGCTGACCGCCAGAGTCAACAGAACAGCTGATAAAACATGAAGCTTATGTCTTAAGGCCCAGGGTCTTGTAATCCAAAAGTCCTGATATCTGGTTATCCAGGGCTATGTAACAAAATACTTCAAAACTGGACCTCCGTCACTTATTTAGCTCACAGATTCACCGTCTGTCCAGGTTCAGCTGGGTAGGCTTCTCTCAGCCCCACATGGAGCCCCTCCACCTGGAGAAGCCACTTCCACGTGGCCTCACTCACACGGCAGCCCACTTGTTTTCATTCTTTGCCATATCATCCCTCCCTGAGCCTCACAGTTTAGCTTGACTAGGGAAGGGCTTTCAGGGCAAATGTAATTAATGAACCTAACTCCCCCGTCCCATGTTTGATCATATAACGCTTTCAGAAATGGAGGAGCAGAGGGGAGGCCTCAGGGCTGCCCTGTGTTGGAGCCCAGCGCACCCTGGCATGTGGTGCCCACACTGAGCAGGGCACCAGGGCTGCAGGCAGAACCCCAGGGGCCAGCCTGGTGAGCCACCTCGAGGCACAGGCCTCACAGCAGTGGCAACTTTATTGATAACATACTCTTTCTGGCACCTTCCGTACTTCACTCACCTCAGGGTCTGCTTCTGGGGAAAGCCAACCCAAGGCAGAGGTGAAAAGTGGGGCAGCCCTTTGTCATTTGTATCAGGGGCTCTTGATCCTTGCCATCCCAGGATTGTCTGACTGACCCCCTGTCTGCCAGCTGGACCTCCTAAATCTGTCCCAAGTTACCAGCTTCTCCCCACTCTTGTCACCACCAGTCCATGCCAGAGCTTCCCTGCTAACGCTGCAGCAGCCTCCCCTCTGGTCTCCCCGCCTCCTACATTCGCTTTCTGCTTAGCGTTCAGAACGGCTTTTCCAAAGTACAGTCTGTACAGGTTGCTCCACTCCCACCCCACCCCCACTGGAAAACCTTCCTGGAATGAAATCCTACCTAAATCCTTCATGTAGCATGGAAAGCCCTATCCGATCCACCCTTGCTGGCCTCTTCAGTCTGAGGTCCTGCCACTAGGAATGTCCACCTCAGGGCCCTGCATATGCTGTTCTTTCCTCACCACCTGGCTAACTCCCACTCACAAGTCTTACCTTGGTTTGTAGTTATTTGACTATGAGTAACTCCCAGTGCCTGGCGTTTGCCTGGTACACAGTAGGTATTTAATAAATACTGAATGGTTGAATGAATAAATAAATCCTCCTCTGATGTCATGGATCCTGCAGTTATGCCCCCACCTACCTGTACAGTATACCACTCCCAAGCCAAGTGTCCCCACCCCACAAAGCTCCCCAAAGCACCATCACTTTCCATTAACATTCATTTTTTTCATTCATGTGACAAGTATTTTTTGAGTGCCTACTCTGTGTTAGGCATCATCCTAGGCTCTGGGGGATACAGCAGGGAACAAACACAATTTTCCCCCTCTCTTCCACCTGTCCTTAGCAAACTCCTGCTCATCCTTCAAAACCCAATGCTAACGTCCCATCCTCTGGGAAACCCTTTCCCAAACTGCTCCCTCTCACCACTACACCACTTTCAAACCCAAGGAGTGTGAAGTGGGGGGCCGGAGGCCTGCAGGGAGAGATGAGGGCAGATGTCTCCACTGGAAGCTCTGTTCATAGGCAATGAGTCAGGGGCACAACTGCAACTCCTGCCTCCTCCCTCAGGCCTGTTTCCAAGCCACTTAGCAACTCCTCAGAGGAAATGGATGCCAGGCCCACCTTTTATTTGCACAGAAATAACCAAGGATCATGAATCCAGGCTGAGAAGCAGCACAAGGAAGGGCACCTGAGGAGGACACATGGGGGCTGGGATGTAGAGTTGGAGCAGATTCAAACATCAGACCCTGAGTAAACCAAATGAGTCCAGTTCATCTAGGTCACTGGTGTGGGGCTTCCCTGCCATTAGGTGGGAGGCAGAGGCAGAGTCTATAGTGGGTACATAGTAGGAGGACCCGTGGCCAGCCTTTCAAAGTTCCTCTTGCTATCTGACCCAAGTCTGGCATGCTGCTATTCCATCTCAACTCCACATCAGTCCTCTTGGGTTGCTCCTCCTGCCTCCTCTTGGTCTACCCCGAGGTTCTGGC